TTTTTTTTTTTTTTTTATCTATTTTTGATCAAATCCGAAAGAAAATAATCGAAGTAGACATTAATTAACCTGAACCGTTAAACCAAACGCTGACGTCGGAATGCAAATGTTACAGGCTGCTTTTTACAAAGAAGCGAGTACATAGAAACATGGACCCACAAGTTCAGATTTCCTCCAAGTCCAACTACTTGCTCGTCTGACCCCATGAGGCCCACTCCAAGGGATGTAGGGCTAAAGTGAGTTTTTTATGTCCCACAAAGCCCATCAGCATTCGACCTTAATAATATTAAGAAAATTTCCCTCGTTTCCATAATGCAAATCCAAAGTAAATCAACAATAACCAGTCTTACAACAAGGACTTGCGGGCTCTTCTCCCACCTAAAAGTTTTCATGTAAATCGTATCTCGAGTCTCATTACGATTTACATTTATGTGAATGCATTTTTCAAGCTTGCTTCTCCATGGCTCAGCAGTCTAGTACTGTGTCGACAAGTTTGTTTTTTTTATTTTTTTTTAAAAAAATAATTAAACCAACGTCCCCATAATCCCAAGTATGCACCTCAAAATCCAATCAACTACTCAAACTGAAGTTTTTCACCATTGTACAGAATGAGATCTCCATGATTTAGAACAGCTTCAGAAGTCCATTGGTTGATCTTGTAANTTCACCATTGTACAGAATGAGATCTCCATGATTTAGAACAGCTTCAGAAGTCCATTGGTTGATCTTGTAAAGCTACAAGGTTCAACAAGTATAGCGACACTTGGGAAATCACACTAAAGGCTCGTTTCATAAACGTATTATGAGTGAATTAATATTATATTGTACTATTATTTATTTAATCAAACATAATCCTTTGTTTGGTAGATAAATTTAATGCCGTATTAATTTCAAAAACATATATTAATCGTATATTTTTATATATATTTAGTACCATAAATATTATATTGTACTATTATTTATTTAATCAAACATAATCCTTTGTTTGGTAGATAAATTTAATGTCGTATTAATTTCAAAAACATATATTAATCGTATATTTTTATATATATTTAATACCATAGACTTAAATTATAAAAATATTTTAATATCATCAAGAGAGGTGGTAATGTGATATTATAATTCATTTCAAATGTATTACTATACACATTTACTGTTATAATCCCACAATTGATAAAAACCAAGCTATTATCAACGTAACAAACACTGATTTAAGGTATTTTTATTAATTCAATATTAATACCATGAAAATAATATCCTAACCAAATAATCAATTAGATTAACTAACTATTATTCATCGCTTATGTTGTATAGTACCAAACACTATATAAATTAAATATTATTCTAATACTTTATTTAATCTAATATTTTATTTTATTCATCTATATTGTATTAGACCGTATTACTTTATCTAATCCATCTATTTCTAACACAACAATCAAACAAGCCCAAAGTGTGTTGGTTCCCTTCCAAATTGAAATTGCTATTGTCACCCCCATTTTAGAGTGAATTTAGGTTTTTCAGCACTCCTCTACATTTCCTCTTTCTTTTGCTCCCTAATCAACCAAAACAAAGCCAATTCATAGAGAACAATGCAGTGGCTCACATGAAATCCGCACCCAAAATAGCAAGCTTCTTGCCCTTTTTACCCTACTAGAGGTCTAGAACAATGTCACCATAATGACATAAAGCCTCATATCACTTTATTAACAGAGGAAAACCGCACTTCTGTTTTGTTTATCTATTTTTTGCTTTGCTTGCTTTTGTTACTGTTGTGCATGCATCACACACGCGCACACACACACGCACATGCATGCATATGTAGAATTGAGTTCTTACTTTAAGTGATGGGCACCAAACTGATTTGCAAACAGTTGAAGTTCCATTACTGTCTCTGGGTTAAAGCCAGCAGCAATAGCACGAGCATAAGCTGTGGCTAAATCCTGCCTAACTGCAACAAGTCGTACATCAATGGCTCTCAAAAGTTCCTTCCTATGAAGCAGAAGAATAGAGAATTAGAGATGCAGGAAACAACTTTAAGACAGAGGAGAGGGGGCAAATTTTATAACCATTCAGTATACTAACCATAGTATATTAGATGGCCATGCATCTTTAAGAGTAAAAGTATGATACTATAACATCTGTCATGACAAGCAAATTATGGCTATCTATACCAATTGATGTGATCACTCCAAGGAATTATGGCTATGCTAGCTTCAGCCCACCAGCTAATACCATTTAAATTGAGACATTCCACTTCTTGATGAATTTCTCATACAATAAATAATTTCCAGCTATAATCCTCGATACCTTGAGTTCTCAACATTAAACCAGCAGAATCCTTACATTCCTAACCCAATCAATTAACCCAGACGGTAAGATCGGCTAGTTCAAAGGGCTTAATCTGGTCCAAACTCTGAATTTGTCGGAACAAATTGTTTGCTTTACAAGAGCATTGAAGGCTTTACATTGGAAAATTCAAAAGCTAGGAGTAGAAACCATCCATTGGGCCGTGTGGAACAAGCCCAGCACAAAGTACCATTGCCTTAAAAAAAAAGAAAAGAAAAAAAAAAGCTTCCAAGTACAAGATCATAATTAACCACAATAACCTACGAAACACCTGGAAGCAAAAAGAGGAACAGTAAATTTTTTTTGGCGGCAGTTGAGAGCACACATGCATGTGTTCATTTGTTTGTGTTTGAGAGATAGAGAGAGGTATTACTTTGTTGCATCAGCAGCGGCTGTAGTCCTGGTTCCACTCCCACCTGGAATAAATGATTAATCCAATAAGGTGAAAGAAATCCATCAAGAATCTGGAATCAGTGAGAAAGTCTAACTTAGTCCATTATTTGTATTCTTCAAACTTTGTCCACTATTTGTTTCCTATTCCACAATTGAAGCCTTTTCACAACCTCAAGTAAAACCTATCAGCAAGTCAAAACATCACCCCACCCGACAGAGGAAGGGTTATTTATTAATGTAATTAAGTAATAAAAGCTAAAGGTATTCAATGAACTTTCGATTAAGTCCTGATGATAATTTACAAGCTGTATCACTTAAATAATTAAGACACCTTAATTATAACATAATGCAAAACGGGCTCAATGGAAAGCTTTCTAAAACTTTTGTCCAACTAAACTAAAATACTCTTAATAATCTGTATCCCATATTCATCCCACGTACGTCATCTCTTTCTCTCCTAATCAGCTTGGGATGTTCATGGGCTAGGTGGTCCTCCAGAGGCCTTGGCTAACCAACCAAGCTCAGAAAATTCAGTGCTTGACCTATAATATAGGCCCATAGAGTTGGCGATAGACCAAAAAGTTTGGTCCAGCAAAGTCTAGGTTGGGCTTGGGCAGATGTGAATTGTATAGGTCGGCCCAAGAAGTGATACATGGGATATTGCATCACACGATGGGTATTGCATTACACATAGATATGATATTGCAGTGTTAAACTGTGAGATTTGTCGTCTCCGGACAAAATCATCTACGTGTAAAAATTCATCTACAGTCAAACCTACCCAATGTACTTGAAAGCTGATCTCCGCCTCCCTGAAATTAATTACAAAAACTCACAGTAAGGGAAAACAAACCAATTATTGTCATTCCTGACAAATCCTTATAACTGCAATAAAGTTGCTACCTCGAAATAGATTCTCCGAGCTGCTTCTAATTGAGACATCTCAGCATCTAAGGTATTGACCAATTCCAAAACCTCAGGTGTACTAACAAACCGCACAAACCTGGAAAGAAGTACCAATTACCTCAAAGCTCATAAACATACTCCTATTTCAAGTGCTGAAGTGCATTACCTCTCAAACGTTCCTTTAGTGAACCATGTTTTGGCATTTATACATTTCTGAACTTCAAGCTTTATTGACTGAACCAATAATGCAACCTGTTCTTCTGCAACCTTCAAATGTGTCACAAATGGCTTCACTAACCCTGAAGCCAGTTTCTCGGTGTTTCCTTCACTTGAAACAAACAATTCACATCTATCCAAAACAAAACAAAAAAATCAAATTTGGAGACCACAAACATGTATAGCAATGAAATTCATTGTGAAAAAAGGGAACATACAAGAAATGTCCTCACCTTGTACGCCTTGGTGACAATTGGAATACCGCATAATCAAGAGGGGCCTCGGCTTTCATCTTCTTTTGACTAAGGAGGTGCTATCTCTTCTTGGGCCTCTTTTCATAAAAACTGGTACATCTTTTGCCACAATAATTAAGCTCCACCTATAAATCTTTTGATTAGTCAAGCCTTAAGAGTTTCAAACTCATACTGTAGAACCATCGCAGAAAGTCACAATCAGTGCCTCACAGATCTAAATTCTAAAGCCTATCTTCTAAACAAAATGCGCCTAAAATTGAATTAAGCCACCAAAATACGACGACATATCAGAAAACTCAAAACCAAATTGTCTCAGATCTGTTAACACAAAAGAAAATTGAAATGTCAAATCAAAATAACTAGGTATATATACACAGATATAAGCATATACATGCAGCAGCGAAAGAGAGTGAGAGATTCGGAAAGTTTTGCTGCTCTTCAATCTGAGGGGTCAAAAATCCAGCTAAGTTGAAGCAAAATCAATCGCCAAATTCAGTACCAGTGAAAGAGACCTCAGACTCGAAAATGGTGAACTCAAATAACTGATTAACCCTAGCAATCTGTAGGAAAAAAAAATCAGAGGGAAATGCGGGAAGATGATGGAGATCGAAACTTACCTTTGCGACATGAAGGTGGAAATCTTGAATAATCCAAATGGATCGTCTCATATCTGAACCATCATTTTGGTTTCTTACTTTGCATTTATATTATGTAGCTCGCTGTTCGAGTCTTTTTAATGTACAGTACGGGAAGATAGATAGATAGATAGCTTTTCTTGATTTTCTTTGAGTTTTTTGTTTTTTTCGGTTCTACGAAAACCCTACACTGGACTCTCTCTGTCCTTCCTCTGCCTATGTACGTATGTATATACGAAGGAGGAAAGAAGGAGATGGAAGACGTGCCGAGAAAAAAAAATAAAAAAAAGGGGCAGAATTAAACCCAGACCGCCGCAATTCGTTACTTAATTTCCTTTGACGTTTGAAATATTGTATATTTTTTCCCCTAAATTTGTACTCCCATAACATCCTGCCGTTAGTGTATATATTACTTATACTCAAATCTTCTAAAATTTATAGGCGAATAATACTTAGATCTCTCAAATTTACAATATTATATTTAAATTAAAAATAATTTAATAAAAAATAAAATATCAAAATATTTTAAATTTAAAAAAAAATTAATGTTCTATCCTATCATTTATTAACATAAAATAAAAAATAAAAAGTTAATTTTTTTTTAAAAAAAACCTAATTAGTATACAATTACACTATTTATTAGAATAAAACAANTATACTCAAATCTTCTAAAATTTATAGGCGAATAATACTTAGATCTCTCAAATTTAAAATATTATATTTAAATTAAAAATAATTTAATAAAAAATAAAATATCAAAATATTTTAAATTTAAAAAAAAATTAATGTTCTAACCTATCATTTATTAACATAAAATAAAAAATAAAAAGTTAATTTTTTTTAAAAAAAAAACCTAATTAGTATACAATTACACTATTTATTAGAATAAAACAAAAAAATCAGGGACAAGTCATTCATAATAGAACATGAATTTTACAACCAAAATTCATGTTTTATTATGTCATTTATTGAAATAAAATCAAAAATAAAAATTTAATTTTTTAAAAAAAATCATAATTACTATACAATTATATTATCTATTAGAATAAAACCAAAAAATTAAATAAGAGCTTAAATTGTAATAAACACAATATATTTTAGCTTTAATTGAGATAATTTAGTAGTTCAATTTGGTCATTTAAACAACCAAATTAAATTCAAAATAAATAGTATAATTGTATATTAATTATATTTTTTTAAAAAAATTAAATCTTTAATTTTAATTTTAATTTTAATTTTATTTCAATAAATTTTATAATAGAATATAAATTTTAATTGTAAAATTTAAAATATTTAATATTTTATCTTTGATTAGAGTATTTTTTGTTTAAATATAACATTTTAAACTTGAGAAATTTAAGTATTACACGCCTACAAATTTCAAAGGGTTTGGATGTAATTTAGTAACAGATATATTACGGAGATTAATGGTAGGAGTCTAAGTGTTACTTGCGTACAAACTTTTATAAGATTTTTGTGTAATATTTTAAACTAGTTATTCTCCATGCCTGAAGATACGAAATAATAAAAAAAAATGGTAATAATAAATATATTTGTATTCACTCTGAAAATCAAATCACAAACATAAATAAGAGATGAAAAAATTTTAAGTATCGATTGTAATGGGGGTAAGCGGTATTAATGGTGGTGAGCGGCAGTGGTGATGGTGGGAGACAGTAATGGTTGTGGTGGGTGACGACAAGCATGGTAATGGTGGCAGTAGTGAGTGACACCAGTGATGATGGTGGTGGACGACGACAATGGTAGTTGACAGTGGTGGTGGTAGTGGGTGGTGACGGTGGTGGTGGCGGGGGTGATGGTAGGACAGTGGGGGGTGGTGATAAGGTGCGATAGTAGTGGTGNATTAGAGTATTTTTTGTTTAAATATAACATTTTAAACTTGAGAAATTTAAGTATTTCACGCCTACAAACTTCAAAGGGTTTAGATGTAATTTAGTAACAGATATATTACAGAGATTAATGGTAGGAATCTAAGTGTTACTTGCGTACAAACTTTTATAAGATTTTTGTGTAATATTTTAAATTAGTTATTCTCCATGCCTGAAGACACGAAATAATAAAAAAAAATGTTAATAATAAATATATTTGTATTTACTCTGAAAATCAAATCACAAACATAAATAAGAGATGATGAAATTTTAAGTATCGATTGTAATGGGGGTAAGCGGTATTAATGGTGGTGGGCGGCAGTGGTGATGGTGGGAGACAGTGATAGTTGTGGTGGGTGACGACAAGCATGGTAATGGTGGCAGTAGTGAGTGACAACAGTGATGATGGTGGTGGACGATGACAATGGTAGTTGACAGTGGGGGTGGTAGTGGGTGGTGACTGTGGTGGCGGCGGGGGTGATGGTAGGACAGTGGGGGGTGGTGATAAGGTGCGATAGTAGTGGTGGTGGTAGTTGGTAGGGGTGCAACCCAATTTCAACCCGAGTCCAACCCGAAAAAGTTAAGGTTTAGACAAGGGTTTTTAATACCTGAGTTGGAGTTGGGTCAAAAAATCTCAACCCGAATTCAATTTGGGTTGGGCTCAGGTTAAGGCCTCGTAAACTCGAGTTCAACCCGAACCCGACAAATTAAAAAAAAATTATATATATATATATAAAACATTAGCACTGATTTTTCATTTTTGTTCTATCGTTCTCTGTTTCTTTCGTTCTCTCAGCTCTCTTGTTAAAAACTTGGTTGAAGTTATTGGTTGTTAATTTAGGTGAATATTATGTAATATATGTATTAGGTTTAGAACAACAAGTCTATTTTGGACTCTACCCAAATTGAACTCGTAAAGTAATTCGAAATCAGCCCAAAAATCATCAACCCAAGTCCGCCCGAATTAAACTCGGGGTAGTGCTTCGGGTTGAGTTCTCCAACCTGAGGTAGGATTAGAGTTGAAGATTATATACCCAGGATTGGGCTAAGGTTGATTGTCCAACCCGCCCAATTTGTTCGAAATTGCACCCCTAGTAATGGGAATGATAGTTGTGGGGGCGATGGAGATAGTGGTAGTGGTGATGGTGGTGATGGCAGTGGAAGTGGTGAGGGCAGTGGAAGAGGTGGTGGTGGTGGGACAGAGGTGGTAGTGGTGGTGGTTGGGTGATGGTAGTGGTGATGGTGGTGGTAGTAGTGAGGATGGGGTGTGGTCGTAGTGGGAGTGGGGGTGGGGGTGAGTGTTGAGCGATAGGCATAATGGTGGTAGAGATAGTAGTGAGGTGGTTTCAAACATTATTTTTTTTTAAATTATTAATGAGAAAAAATTCATAGAAGTACTTTTAAAAAGTCACTCTAAACGCACTTTTAGGAACATATTTTTTCTATTAAATCTAGGATGTTAATATTAGTCATTAGATTAACTTTAAAGTAAAATTTAAAGCGATTTAAACCGATAAAAGTAAAAGTTATTTTATTTATCTTTTAAAATTTGAATTGTAAATTATTTTATTATATAGATATCAAAGCGTCTGAATAATTAAATGACAAATCTCAAAAACTCTGAATATAATTCTCCCACAAAAAAAAAGGCGAGGAGATTCTTAACAAAAAAAGAAAAACAAAAAAGTATATTAGTGACATGCGTGTCTTGGTCGTTGTATTAAATTTTTCTCCGCCCAAAACNTAGGCATAATGGTGGTAGAGATAGTAGTGAGGTGGTTTCAAACATTATTTTTTTTTAAATTATTAATGAGAAAAAATTCATAGAAGTACTTTTAAAAAGTCACTCCAAACGCACTTTTAGGAAGATATTTTTTCTATTAAATCTAGAATGTTAATATTAGTCATTAGATTAACTTTAAAGTAAAATTTAAAGCGATTTAAACTGAGAAAAGTAAAAGTTATTTTATTTATCTTTTAAAATTTGAATTGTAAATTATTTTATTATATAGATATCAAAGCGTCTGAATAATTAAATGACAAATCTCAAAAACTCTGAATATAATTCTCCCACAAAAAAAAAGGCGAGGAGATTCTTAACAAAAAAAGAAAAACAAAAAAGTATATTAGTGACATGCGTGTCTTGGTCGTTGTATTAAATTTTTCTCCGCCCAAAAAACAGGGGAGAGATTCTTAAAAAAAAAAAAAAGGGTATTAGTGACATGTGTGTCTTGGTCGTTGCATTAAGTTTTTTTTTGAAAAGCGTTAGTCAAAGAGACCATTTGAAACAAAGGTAGTTTAAACGGTGGCTGTAAATTCAAAAATTTATAATTTTAATTTTGATAATTTTTTGGGTCCAATCATAAAAAATTTATTCCTTATAAATTATCTAGTCTTAACAAGGGTGTTCACCCTACCCTACGGGTAGAAAAATATAATTTTTCGTATTCTTACCCGATACTTTGTGGAAGAATTTTTTCTTGATCTATCATACCCTATCAGGTATGGTATTTCTACCCGATTAATTGGGTAAGAAGTCAGGTAAACACTTTTATAACTTTTAATTTTTGGATCATTTTAACAATTCAATTAAATAACATGCACCAATTTAACAACACAATAAATCAATAACACTAAAACCTAAAACAACTACANAAGGGTATTAGTGACATGTGTGTCTTGGTCGTTGCATTAAGTTATTTTTGAAAAGCGTTAGTCAAAGAGACCATTTGAAACTAAGGTAGTTTAAACGGTGGCTGTAAATTCAAAAATTTATAATTTTAATTTTGATAATTTTTTGGATCCAATCATAAAAAATTTATTCCTTATAAATTATCTAGTCTTAGCATGGGTGTTCACCCTACCCTACGGGTAGAAAAATATAATTTTTCATATTTTTATCCGATACTTTTTGGAAGAATTTTTTCTTGATCTATCATACCCTATCAGGTATGGTATTTCTACCCGATTAATTGGGTAAGAAGTCAGGTAAACACTTTTATAGTTTTTAATTTTTGGATCATTTTAACAATTCAATTAAATAACATGCACCTATTTAACAACACAATAAATCAATAATACTAAAACCTAAAACAACTACAACAATAATTACAATAAAATATAAAAAAGCATGAACATCAATCCATCATAATTGTTACACAAATACAATAACAATTATTTTAAATTTAAATTATATGAAATACATTAAAATCATAATTGTTCCAATAGATCACCAATTCACCACAAATCATGTAACTTACACAAAAAACAAGTTCATGTTTTTGCAACTCAAACATTCACAACAATAACAATGTTATAATATAAATTACACCACACAAATACTCTTATAATTATTAAAAAAAATATAAAAAAAGTTAAATATATTTTTTACAGGGAGGGTAGGGTAGGAATGCGGAAGTTGATGGGTATTCAGCATTTCTACCCTATTTAATCAGAAGACCAAAAANGTTTTTAATTTTTGGATCATTTTAACAATTCAATTAAATAACATGCACCTATTTAACAACACAATAAATCAATAATACTAAAACCTAAAACAACTACAACAATAATTACAATAAAATATAAAAAAGCATGAACATCAATCCATCATAATTGTTAAACAAATACAATAACAATTATTTTAAATTTAAATTATATGAAATACATTAAAATCATAATTGTTCCAATAGATCACCAATTCACCACAAATCATGTAACTTACACAAAAAACAAGTTCATGTTTTTGCAACTCAAACATTCACAACAATAACAATGTTATAATATAAATTACACCACACAAATACTCTTATAATTATTAAAAAAAATATAAAAAAAGTTAAATATATTTTTTACAGGGAGGGTAGGGTAGGAATGCGGAAGTTGATGGGTATTCAGCATTTCTACCCTATTTAATCAGAAGACCAAAAACTCTTCTGCATTCCTATTCGATTTTTGTGACTAACCGCTCAATAGGGGTAGGGTAGAGTCGGATCAGATAGGGTAAAAAATTATAGATAATCAAAAATTTGAACACCCCTAAGTCTTAGTATGAATGACCTATCTTTGATCAAATTGAAGAAAAAATTAATCGATATGCATATAAGTTGTTTCAAACATCACTAATTGTTAAAATTAAAAAAAAATAAAAATAGAGCATTGGGTTTTATCCTAGTTTGGTATAATTTTTGCATGAAGCTTTGTTAGTTGTCTCTATAACCATAATTAGGAGAAAATATTCAATGCTTATAAGGAGTGTCNATTAAATATATTTTTTGCAGGGAGGGTAGGGTAGGAATGCGGAAGTTGATGGGTATTCAGCATTCCTACCCTATTTAATCAGAAGACCAAAAACTCTTCTGCATTCCTATTCGATTTTTGCGACTAACCGCTCAATAGGGTAAGGTAGGGTAGGGTAGAGTCAGATCAGATAGGGTAAAAAATTATAGATAATCAAAAATTTGAACACCCCCAAGTCTTAGTGTGAATGACCTATCTTTGATCAAGTCGAAGAAAAAATTAATCGATATGCATATAAGTTGTTTCAAACATCACTAATTGTTAAAATTAAAAAAAAAAAAAATAGAGCATTGGGTTTTATCCTAGTTTGGTATAATTTTTGCATGAAGCTTTGTTAGTTGTCTCTATAACCATAATTAGGAGAAAATATTCAATGCTTATAAGGAGTGTCATGTGGTGCTTATATACCCATTAAGAAATTCTCCCGATATTTATTTGTCAATTCTACAAGTTGATTTTTTTCAAACAAAATTCTAACAACTTGACAACCGAAAAAAATTAATAAGAATATATAATATTTTATGAGTCTTTTTGTGTAAATTGTTATACTAATTAAGTTTTTTTGTGTAAACTGTTAACTCTACTAACATTTGTAATTTGTTCACACGTTAGAGGGGGCTAAATGAAACTAATAAAAATATACAGGGAGTGAAGTGAGATCGAGACTTAGTTAAGGGGATTTTTTTGTTTTTTACCCTATATACTTTATCCAAAGCCATTGTTTGTGATTTTGATGACTAGATTTTTGGACCTTTCTGTTGGAAAAGGAACCAAATATGCCAAAAAAAAAAATGATTTCAAAAGAGCTCACTAGTTTAAAGTAATAACCACATGGATTTATTATAGGATTTGATACAAGGGAGAGATAGATTCAAACTACTTGAATGCAAATTCAAATTTTTGTNTGATTTCAAAAGAGCTCACTAGTTTAAAGTAATAACCACATGGATTTATTATAGCATTTGATACAAGGGAGAGATAGATTCAAACTACTTGAATGCAAATTCAAATTTTTGTACCATAAACATGGGATTGGGGGCTTCATCCATACACCCACCAGACCATTTTAGTCTAATCAAATAAGCTAGACTAGCTACTACTGTCACTATTGGTTATTGTTGCTGTTATTATTGGTGTTATATGCTTACTAATCCCAACCATCACCATGCTTCTTCAGCTGTGAAAGCTCCAACTGGGTCTTCTTCATGAAGAACTGCAATCTCTGCAACTCCAGCTCTTTCACGAGCTTCATCCTCTGCTTCTCCAACTCTACTTTCTGTAATTTGAATCTGATGACTGCATGTACCAGGGAATGTGCTTCGTGATGTGGGTTTAACTATTCGAATAAGCCATGATCAAACCACTCTTTTCCCATCACTGGGGCTGCATTTTTTTTTCAATTCGTCCGCTTATTTTTTTTAATAGTAGATTATTTACTTGAACAAAGACCGACACNGCCATGATCAAACCACTCTTTTCCCATCACTGGGGCTGCATTTTTTTTTTAATTCGTCCGCTTATTTTTTTTAATAGTAGATTATTTACTTGAACAAAGACCGACACAAAAATAATGGGTCTTCTTGAAGTCATGGAAGAACAGACGTTATACAAATTGAAGAAAAATATACGGAATCATGTACCTCAATGGGGTCCCAAAGAAATAGTGAAAACCCTTGAATTCATTATAATCACATCATGCGCCATTTAGACGAATTGGAAGAAGCTATATTGAATTGGACTTTCCATCAAGGTTGTACATGTAACAATCAGGTAGAAAAGAAAGGTGGATATATCATTTGAACAGTGTATAAGAGGTTTTGAAAACTCAAAAACAAAACCAAACCTTGTTGGACAGGAACAAAAATGGAAGAGCAGTAGAGCACTCATGTTATTCAGGAGGAAAAAATCCCGTTAAATAATCATCCTACACTCACCATTATCGGATTCAGGACCCTTAATCCACTAAACTGGAGATGCTACAAAACTGGCGGACTCCTGTCCTTTACACTCCTATCCCTTCTTTCTTTCATTCCGTCCTCATAGAAGAATAATATTTCTAATGTGGTTTTGGCTTATACCCATCAACAGCAAAATTCCGTGTGGCAGCAGGCAATGCTAAGCGAATTCCATCAAGTTCAGGTTTTGCAATCACTTGACAACCTAAACGAGACCTGCAGAGAACAATTATGTAACAATTTGCTTGGGTGGTAAGAGAATTTGCAATTAAATTTCAAGATTGAAAAACCTACGTCTCCGTGAGGCCAAAAGCAAGATCTAGCATGTCATTCTCCTCATCAGTCGGATCTTCTAGTTTGTTGTAGTACTCCATGTCCTATACGAGGCAAGCAGAAGTTGATTTTATGTGGTGGGCAACAACAATTGAAACAAGCTTTATAGAAGACCACTAGATCATCAAGTTAGCCCTTAAGATGCATTATATTGCAGTAGCCATGAGTTGTTTAGCCATTTAAGGACCTGGGAATGCAATGACGTACCGCCACAATCACATGACAAGTTGAACAGGCAAGCGAGCCTTCACAAGCACCTGTCATCAGATTCAAATTAATTAGCTTATCAAACACAAAGCATGGGAAACTACAAGGGTGAACAGTTCCATACTCAGCAAGCTTAGATTGCCACACATTCCCAAATTGACAAAGTGATACTAAAGCATTCATCTCTGATCCCCTTAGAACTAGTTTGATAGAATAAGATAATTTATATTATGAAGATAATAACCTAATGTGATCATAAGATGATACAAGGTCCAAAGCAGAGTAACTTGCCCTGAAATGCCCACCTTCAAGTTCTATGTCATTTTCATGTGCAGCTTCTAACATAGACATCCCAATGGGGACCGTAATATGGTGCTCCTCTCCATCCTTGTCAACAAATGTCACAGATATTCTGCAGAGTCAAACAGGAGAGTATAAAGAGATATGTTTAGATACAGCTAACTACTAGTTATGTTGGAATATCCACAAATTATGAACAAATAAAAACACTAAGATATCCAGGGAATTTAACTACATGATTTTCACTACAAAAACAAAAAAATATATATAATTATCCTTCTCAGGAGTGATTGACTATTTTCATGAAAATTATGCATCAATAGTTAAGTCATATGCGAGCTCACAATATACTCTCTTTTAATTAAAAATAACAGTGTTACCGATAATTTTCATAGAGTACATATTCCTATTTTTCTATCTAATGTATAAAGATATTATTAATTTTACTAATTTAGGAAATAAAATTATTAATTATGTACCACAAAAAGAAGCTGGTTCCTCAGAAAGTAAATAAGAGCATTATTAAGTTATTGAATATTATTATTAGAGGGCCAATTGCAATGTACCTCTAGACTTCTATCCGTTATATGTTTGTGCTGCATAGCATCGGTATTCAAACATTGTCTGGCACCCACATGACAGTTTTATGTCATCATGTAGGGGTACAACATTGCCTGAACAACATTCTGGTTCGATGCTTCAAGTTAGCACATAGATGAAGGTCTATCAAAATTATATACATAACTTCAAAACTACTTCGGCATTTTCTGTCGAGGGTGATGCCCATGAGGTAATTAGTGGTAATAGATCCACTAAGGATACCATTTGGCTTATGTTTGACAGATATTGGACACCTCAGTATACATGTGGTGTGTGCCTTTCCTTCAACCAGAATATGGAGGCAATAAAGGGTAAAAAATGATAAGCACAGACTTGGAACACAAGCAAGCTTACTTTTGCTTTTCCTTGTTCCCTGCCTCCTGAGCCTTATCTGCAGCCGTAGAACAAAATGGTTCGTGCCTCTGAATACAAAACTGAAATATCGAGCTAATTTACTATGTCTTTTGAAAGACAACTTTAGAAAAAAAATTTTAAAAAAAAACAACAATAACAAAAAAAAATGCTCAAGTGATGCAACTGTTCTATAAACAAGACATCAAATCAAGACCCAAATGAATAAAGCTACAAAGATGCAAAAGATGTATCAGCAAAATTCCTGATAAAGCACAAATAAAACAGACCACTCTAACAAAACTACACTATTTGCTTTATTTCCATCGTTCTCTGGGTCAAAGCAAACCAAGCAAGCAGGCAGCTAAATGTTTCGAGGAGAAAGAATATATATCTCTTTACATTCATGTCTAATGTTAGTTCCAGTGACAAAGTCCATCCAAGCTATCACTTGTTGAAGGCAAGTAAACACAATTTTTGAGGTACTCATATCTAATATCACACAAGAGTGCCGCATCATATCTGCAGTACAAATTGGAAAAGCCATTATGCCTCCTTCAAATCCTTTCACTTACGCATTTGAGGCATTAGACTAACCTTCAGGCATCAAACTAGTCTAGCTTTCACATGAAACAACCACCTACATTGATGAACAACCACCTACATTGATGAGGACCACTCCAGCAGCCAAAGTGATTTCAATCCACACAACATAAGGTTGTAACAATTATAATATTTGACTGCTGACTTCATACGTAGATTGTTATATTAGTACTGGATACACAAAGTAACTGGTTATGTATCAGGTGGCACAACATGTAGGCAATTTGCTTAGAAAGAAAATTCATCTTGGAGTTGAAAGAATACTAACCAATGGCTGCAAGACCACATTAAAATGTGATGTTCTTGGGGCGGACATCACTGGAACTGCAAAGCAAACTAGCATCGTGAATCTCATGATACAGGTATAGAAACAAAAAAATTTCCTCAAATTGACCCAACTGATATTTGTATAACACTACAGCATGTATAGTAAATATAATAACAAGAAAGATGATAAGTGCAATTGGGTCTTGAGGAGGAGAGTTTCAAATAGACTTCTACCATCCATTGCATTCAACTTCTATTTCATTGACAGACAATACTTACAAAAAAAGAATATAGACTCCCTTGTGGTCTATCACCTTTGTTATCCCCTTCAGCACTTCACTACCCTATAGTTCAAAGATTGTCACATCTCATATCGTTTTGGACATCAACCTCAACAACTGATGCCATCAACAGTGAGTGATAAACTGACCTTGGTACCTTTACCATCTCACAGTCTCTCTCCCTCTCTCCTATAGTCAAAACCACCATCCCCATCCCCACCCCCAACCCAACCCAACCCCAAGTCACCCCCGACCAGCAAAGAAGTTCATATATACTATCACTCAAGGCATCACACAAGAACTGGTATGTTTGTATTGCTTCCTAATGTAATTGCCCAACATCTGATATTATATATAACTGTTCCTCTGACAAATACTGAAAAATTACAGGGTCAAAAGCATCAAAAAGATAAAAACCAATCAAAAGAACAGACCTTTTGTTAGGCCCTTCATCATCCGAACTCCAAGCTGTGAGAATTTAGAAATAAACATGTTTTGTTGCAGCTACACAACCTGGGTCACAAAATATAAAAATTTAAGAAAGGGTGAAGATCAATTTTTTTTTTTATCGATTTCTAGGCTAGGATATCAAATACTTGTGACATACTTGTTATGGTTTATATGAAAAGCAAGGAATAATTGGATTTATCACCAAATCCATCCGGTTGCTAGAAGGGTAATTCACCAAGCAATTAGTGCTGTGAAGGAACAAAGACTATGCAACAAGAAAGAGCAAAGGGAGTGCAAAGAGCAGGGGGTGAGCTGTGACTCATGGAAAGCACCACCAAGAAGCTGGATTAAGATCAACTGTGATGGGACTTTGCTGAATTAGGGGAAAGGGGCATATGGTATAGTTATTAGAGACTGCAATGGGGTTTTGTTAAAGGAGGTACTGGAANCCACAAAATATAAAAATTTTAGGAGCTTATAAAAGTGTAGGGAGCCCAATTGCTAACTTAACTTAAGAAAGGGTAAAGATCAATTTTTTTTTTTATCGATTTCTAGGCTAGAATATCAAATACTTGTGACATACTTGTTATGGTTTATATGAAAAGCAAGGAATAATTGGATTTATCACCAAATCCATCCGGTTGCTAGAAGGGTAATTCACCAAGCAATTAGTGCTGTGAAGGAACAAAGACTATGCAACAAGAAAGAGCAAAGGGAGTGCAAAGAGCAGGGGGTGAGCTGTGACTCATGGAAAGCACCACCAAGAAGCTGGATTAAGATCAACTGTGATGGGACTTTGCTGAATTAGGGGAAAGGGGCATATGGTATAGTTATTAGAGACTGCAATGGGGTTTTGTTAAAGGAGGTACTGGAATAATAGCTTCAAATTCAGCATTAGCAGTGGAAGCATGGGCTACTACTCAAGCCCGTTGCATTGCTATCATAGAAGGGTACTCTTTTGAGATGATCAAGTCTGGTTCAAAAATCTGTATAGATTCCTTAAAGAAGGGAATACATGAAAGACTGAGAGAAATTGAGGCAATTCAAGGAGATATAGAGTAACTAGTAATTGGCCGTGCCTTCACAATTTTTTTTTATTTTTTCTTTGTTTTCTAATATTACACAATTTCAAAAGAATTAGGTTCCTTCCTTTCCTTTTCTCTAATTTTTTATCCCACTCCAACCAAATCAAATTCAACTCAAGATTGATCCAAGAAAAGTATTTCTCCTTAATAGCAAACAATGACCAATAATTTAATTTTTCAATAAAAGTACAAACCTTTTCATAGGATTTTTGGGCTTCACTAACCATAACGTTTACCATCAAGATCCAAACAATGTAAAACATAGATTGTAACTCAAATCACAACATATTCATACCACCATGAATCCACCCATTACACAAATAAACACAAATCCAAACCAAGCCGGAAATGAAGAAAAACCTTTGAACATTTCACAACCAAATCAATCAAATAAAGATTCAAATTACAACGCACATACCAATGCATAGAAAATTAGAAATACAAACATGCACTACCTTAAACTGAAAAAACAAAAAAAAAGAACTAAAACAGTATGCTTATCATGCAAACTCAGGAATTTCATAAAAACACATTTTTCCACAGTCAAATTAAAACTCAAATGCTAATTAAACCAATTTTACTTTCAATCAAGAATAGGTTGATGTAAAAGTCAACCATGAACAATGTTTATACACATATTTATGCGTCTCTATGGGTTATAACCATAAACAATTGTATTATTTTCCCTTAAATACTCTCTATTGAAGCCTTCTCCTCTCCCAAACAAAAACACATTTTATCTCTCCAAAACAAATACTTGATTCTTCCTCTCTGTAAAACGCAAACCCATAATTATTAGTATCGTACGATACGCGATACATATTGTACAATATGTCACGATACACCTGAAAAACGATACGTATCGTATCTTTGGATCGTCTTTACACCGTACAATATGATATGTACAATATAATACGCCCGATGCGTGAAGATTCTATTTTTTTTTTTTTTTTGTTTATTTCACTCAACATAGTTCAGTAAAATATCGTCATTTCAGTGGTTATGGTTTTAAAAAAAAATAAAGTCTGTTGTTAATGTTGTTTAATTGAATTTAAAATTCCTAATTAATATTAAGATTGTTTAAACAATTGATATTAAAAATTTGAATTAAAGATCTTTACATTTTGATATTAGTGAACTACGTTGAGAACTTGAATAGTTGGTGAAATATTAATAAAATGCTATGTTATTATGAGTCTATGACTTTTTTACAAAGGTATATATATATAATTTTATTAATAATTATTTAAAATTACGTGTATCTTACAATACACGATACACTATTTTTGGAAAACGATACTCCTTCCAATACGCGATTTAACAACTATGCACAGACCAATCAAACACATAATCACTCACCCAAAGTTTTATAAACTTACCCAAAAAAACAAATAGTCACTCGAATTTTAATAGATTAGTTACCGCGCTTCAATTGACACAAAAATTGCATCATTAGAATTCAATTACAAAAAATTCAATTCAACATAGGACTTCATTCAAATTCATTCTTCAAGCTCATATAACCATGAATTATTGAACCAAAAACCAAATAGTAAACAAAATTAAATAAATCTTTGACAGATTTATTGAAATTGCCAGAACTAAGTTTTACCTAAGTTATTCCTTCAATTCAGCTGATCACAAAGACTCAGCTTCAATTCAATAAAGTCATACGGTATCGTGATCAGCTAAGTTGGAAAGAGGGACAACTAAGTTCATTGTTAAGATGGCCCCCAACCACCTTCAGTTCAATAAAGTCCTACATTGGCCTATAAAAAAAATTCCTTGAAGGCTCTAAATGGCCTTCAGTTCACCCGTGGTTGACTGAAGGTCACCAACCACGGGTTCTGCTTGGCTAACTATAAATCTGTCAAAGATTTATCAAGGTTTTTCAGGTAGCATGGGTAGGGATGACGGTGGTTGGGGGCTTTGGGGCTGTGGGTAGGGATTGGGGTTGGGGTTGGGGTTGGGCTTTAGGGATTTGGAGCTGTGGCAATGGTTGTATGTGCGTGTACAGAGAGAGGGTGGAAACTCTTCGAGAAATTTCGTCGAACACGTGGTGTTCGAGGTGGGTGTGGGGACAGGGATGGCAGCTAGGGTGGAGGCTAGTGAGACAGAGAAAGGGGAGAGCAGAGTAGGAGACGATGACAAAGAGATACCTGAAGGTCGCTGGCGAGCAGGAGGGCTGCCGGTGGTGCTTCGCCTGGGCAAAGGTAGGTAGCAGAGGCGTGGCGTGGCAGAGGCGGTGGAGAAAGAGAAAGAAGCCCGCAAGGGAGTAGGATAAACAATAGGCTGTAAAGGACAAATTGTTCATGTAATACTTTTCTTTGAATGAAAATTTATGATTTTGACCCCCCAAAAAAAAAAAAAATTTCTCTCAGTGACAATAAAGCAAACACTTGGCTGCCCACAAATAAATCTTCTTGTTTCCTTCATACAGGCATAGGCATGGCAACAAATATTTGGCTGAATTAGAGAAAGATAGAGAACAGCATTTGAAATTCTGGATCGGGAAGAGAGATTAAAATAGAAAGAAAAACAATCACATAAAACAATATAAAAAACACATGGAAAATCAAGAATTTAGTCCTATTTGATTAGTCAAAAAGTAATATTAATGCAAAACTAAATAAAGGAAAAGAATAAAAAGAGGGAAGCTTATTTGCTGCTTAAGGCTCATCATACCAGTGAAATTTTTGGCGCTCAAATTGCAGAATGTTGTTGTTGGGCTTTGCCAATGTTTAGTCGAACGCTCCAAAAAACCAGAGAAATCGGTTTCCTATTCAGAAATTGAAAGTCGCAGGAGGGGGGGTACATCCACGACGTCGTTCTATAAGAACCCCAATGCAGAGCCACATCAACTCATTTCGATTTTATTTTAGGCGGGTTTAGCCTTCAATTGATTGCTTGGAGTGGACATAAAAAACTTGTAAGGATTTGGGTTTGGGCTTAAAACAGACATGATGCACACGTCATCGTGGTATGGGCTTGGATGATTGGGCCATGAAATTTGTGGTAGCCCGTGAAATAGTAAAATAAAAATGGAGATGCGGGGTATCGAACCCCGTGCCTCTCGCATGCAAAGCGAGCGCTCTACCGTTTGAGCTACATCCCCAATTGCCCAATTTCTTCCATAAATTATTATTATCTATATGTCTAAACACTCTTCACTGAACATTACTAACTGTTCGATTAGCGGTGGAATTCTTTTAATATTGTGACTCATTACTCGTTCGATTCAACTGTAACAACAAATTTGATGATTAGTTTGGTCTATTATGATCTTTCTTCCAACCAAGTGTTGATGGTTTATTGTTATTACTAAGATGGACATGAGTCCATGACAAATCAGTAGATACTATCTTACTTATGCAGTAAAAATGAAAATACGTGGGCCAGTCAGCTGCCATGCCCATGATCATACAAGAAGCTCGGAAACTATATGACCAGTTCTGCCTTTTTTTTTTTTTTTTAAGCTAGTAAAAAAAGTGGGGAGATATCACTCTATTGATATTTCTCTCGAAAATGAACCTAACTATACTCCACTACTATAACTATGACATGTTCTGCTTGAGGTTTTGTTTACAAGTACAAGAGACAGGACTACACATGGTATAGGCCGCCCAGTTCATTGGCCAAAATGCAGACTACCTTGTTTTAGTCGCCCCCTCCTTTAAAACTATCTACATCTAAAAGCTTTATATATGACACAGCATGATCATTAGGCATTCCAAATATCTGTATTAACTTTTTATAGCTTAGTTTAGGAAGAAGGGGAGCCATCTTCTTCTATTCTTTTTTCTGAATATTACATGGCTTCCCTTCTTTCAACTTCATCAGCTCCTGTGGTCACCCTTCCTCACAGTGCTGCTCCCAGAGCCAAATGCACCATAAGGCAAATTGGTTTCTCTGCAGTTGTAAGTGCCGGTTCGATCACTTTTCCTAATTTGAAACTTTAGGGAGTGTAAGACTATGATACTAAAGAGTTATTACATTAAGAGTCACGTTTCAATTCTATCTCATTTTTTAATTGCTTTTGTTTCAATGTGCAGTGTGCGGCTGGGGGACTAATATTTGTGCCTAAGATCCAAATCTCAAAGGCAGCAACAAGATCATATCAACCATCTNGGGGTTGGGGTTGGGGTTGGGGTTGGGCTTTAGGGATTTGGAGCTGTGGCAATGGTTGTATGTGCGTGTACAGAGAGAGGGTGGAAACTCTTTGAGAAATTTCGTCGAACACGTGGTGTTCGAGGTGGGTGTGGGGACAGGGATGGCAGCTAGGGTGGAGGCTAGTGAGACAGAGAAAGGGGAGAGCAGAGTAGGAGACGATGACAAAGAGATACCTGAAGGTCGCTGGCGAGCAGGAGCGCTGCCGGTGGTGCTTCGCCTGGGCAAAGGTAGGTAGCAGAGGCGTGGCGTGGCAGAGGCGGTGGAGAAAGAGAAAGAAGCCCGCAAGGGAGTAGGATAAACAATAGGCTGTAAAGGACAAATTGTTCATGTAATACTTTTCTTTGAATGAAAATTTATGATTTTGACCCCCCAAAAAAAAAAAAAAATTTCTCTCAGTGACAATAAAGCAAACACTTGGCTGCCCACAAATAAATCTTCTTGTTTCCTTCATACAGGCATAGGCATGGCAACAAATATTTGGCTGAATTAGAGAAAGATAGAGAACAGCATTTGAAATTCTGGATCGGGAAGAGAGATTAAAATAGAAAGAAAAACAATCACATAAAACAATATAAAAAACACATGGAAAATCAAGAATTTAGTCCTATTTGATTAGTCAAAAAGTAATATTAATGCAAAACTAAATAAAGGAAAAGAATAAAAAGAGGGAAGCTTATTTGCTGCTTAAGGCTCATCATACCAGTGAAATTTTTGGCGCTCAAATTGCAGAATGTTGTTGTTGGGCTTTGCCAATGTTTAGTCGAACGCTCCAAAAAACCAGAGAAATCGGTTTCCTATTCAGAAATTGAAAGTCGCAGGAGGGGGGGTACATCCACGACGTCGTTCTATAAGAACCCCAATGCAGAGCCACATCAACTCATTTCGATTTTATTTTAGGCGGGTTTAGCCTTCAATTGATTGCTTGGAGTGGACATAAAAAACTTGTAAGGATTTGGGTTTGGGCTTAAAACAGACATGATGCACACGTCATCGTGGTATGGGCTTGGATGATTGGGCCATGAAATTTGTGGTAGCCCGTGAAATAGTAAAATAAAAATGGAGATGCGGGGTATCGAACCCCGTGCCTCTCGCATGCAAAGCGAGCGCTCTACCGTTTGAGCTACATCCCCAATTGCCCAATTTCTTCCATAAATTATTATTATCTATATGTCTAAACACTCTTCACTGAACATTACTAACTGTTCGATTAGCGGTGGAATTCTTTTAATATTGTGACTCATTACTCGTTCGATTCAACTGTAACAACAAATTTGATGATTAGTTTGGTCTATTATGATCTTTCTTCCAACCAAGTGTTGATGGTTTATTGTTATTACTAAGATGGACATGAGTCCATGACAAATCAGTAGATACTATCTTACTTATGCAGTAAAAATGAAAATACGTGGGCCAGTCAGCTGCCATGCCCATGATCNTAATCAGTAGATACAATCTTACTTATGCAGTAAAAATGAAAATAGGTGGGCCAGTCAGCTGCCATGCCCATGATCATACAAGAAGCTCGGAAACTATATGACCAGTTCTGCCTTTTTTTTTTTTTTTTAAGCTAGTAAAAAAAGTGGGGAGATATCACTCTATTGATATTTCTCTCGAAAATGAACCTAACTATACTCCACTACTATAACTATGACATGTTCTGCTTGAGGTTTTGTTTACAAGTACAAGAGACAGGACTACACATGGTATAGGCCGCCCAGTTCATTGGCCAAAATGCAGACTACCTTGTTTTAGTCGCCCCCTCCTTTAAAACTATCTACATCTAAAAGCTTTATATATGACACAGCATGATCATTAGGCATTCCAAATATCTGTATTAACTTTTTATAGCTTAGTTTAGGAAGAAGGGAAGCCATCTTCTTCTATTCTTTTTTCTGAATATTACATGGCTTCCCTTCTTTCAACTTCATCAGCTCCTGTGGTCACCCTTCCTCACAGTGCTGCTCCCAGAGCCAAATGCACCATAAGGCAAATTGGTTTCTCTGCAGTTGTAAGTGCCGGTTCGATCACTTTTCCTAATTTGAAACTTTAGGGAGTGTAAGACTATGATACTAAAGAGTTATTACATTAAGAGTCACGTTTCAATTCTATCTCATTTTTTAATTGCTTGTGTTTCAATGTGCAGTGTGCGGTCGGGGGACTAATATTTGTGCCTAAGATCCAAATCTCAAAGGCAGCAACAAGATCATATCAACCATCTCGTTGCTCCAAGACAACAATTTCATGCTCCATTGTAGTAACACTTTCTATAGCAACATACATATATATATATGATGAGACTGAGCATTGTATTATTACTTACTATTTTGTGCAGGCTCAACCAGAAACTCTGCAGATTGTCCAGAGCACAATTGCAAAGCAACTGTCCATCGATGAAAGCACAGTGAACCCCCAAACCAAATTTGCTGATTTGGGGGCTGACTCTCTCGATACTGTATGTTCCTTTTAATCCTCTGTATTGGTCATTCTTTGAAATCAATGCATCGATTTCTTTTTATTAAATAATCATCTATTCTAAAAGTTTAACTTACTAAAAAATCTGTAACTTAAACATTTATACTTCAACACGCCTCCCACGTGTTAGATAGATTTTAGGCCTAATACATGGAAATTTTTTTAATTGGTAGTGCGATTCGAAAACAGAATTTTCTATTATAATATCATGTTAAACAATATCTATTTCAAAAGCTTAAATTATTGAAGAGGATATAACTTAAATATTTATTCTTCAATATTTTCTTCTACTTTCATAAAAAATACAAGGTAAAATTAGGNCGACTCTCTCGATACTGTATGTTCCTTTTAATCCTCTGTATTGGTCATTCTTTGAAATCATTGCATCCATTTCTTTTTATTAAATAATCATCTATTCTAAAAGTTTAACTTACTAAAAAATATGTAACTTAAACATTTATACTTCAACACGCCTCCCACGTGTTAGATAGATTTTAGGCCTAATACGTGGAAATTTTTTTAATTGGTAGTGAGATTCGAAAACAGAATTTTCTATTATAATATCATGTTAAACAATATCTATTTCAAAAGCTTAAATTATTGAAGAGGATATAACTTAAATATTTATACTTCAATATTTTCTTCTACTTTCATAAAAAATACAAGGTAAAATTAGGAGTAAATTATACTTTAATCCCTTGAACTATCACATTTATTTTATTTTGCACCCTCAATTATAAAAATTTTCATACTATACTTTAAAGTATTAATTTTATTTTATATCACTCCAATAGACAANGGTATAGGCCGCCCAGTTCATTGGCCAAAATGCAGACTACCTTGTTTTAGTCGCCCCCTCCTTTAAAACTATCTACATCTAAAAGCTTTATATATGACACAGCATGATCATTAGGCATTCCAAATATCTGTATTAACTTTTTATAGCTTAGTTTAGGAAGAAGGGAAGCCATCTTCTTCTATTCTTTTTTCTGAATATTACATGGCTTCCCTTCTTTCAACTTCATCAGCTCCTGTGGTCACCCTTCCTCACAGTGCTGCTCCCAGAGCCAAATGCACCATAAGGCAAATTGGTTTCTCTGCAGTTGTAAGTGCCGGTTCGATCACTTTTCCTAATTTGAAACTTTAGGGAGTGTAAGACTATGATACTAAAGAGTTATTACATTAAGAGTCACGTTTCAATTCTATCTCATTTTTTAATTGCTTGTGTTTCAATGTGCAGTGTGCGGTCGGGGGACTAATATTTGTGCCTAAGATCCAAATCTCAAAGGCAGCAACAAGATCATATCAACCATCTCGTTGCTCCAAGACAACAATTTCATGCTCCATTGTAGTAACACTTTCTATAGCAACATACATATATATATATGATGAGACTGAGCATTGTATTATTACTTACTATTTTGTGCAGGCTCAACCAGAAACTCTGCAGATTGTCCAGAGCACAATTGCAAAGCAACTGTCCATCGATGAAAGCACAGTGAACCCCCAAACCAAATTTGCTGATTTGGGGGCTGACTCTCTCGATACTGTATGTTCCTTTTAATCCTCTGTATTGGTCATTCTTTGAAATCAATGCATCGATTTCTTTTTATTAAATAATCATCTATTCTAAAAGTTTAACTTACTAAAAAATCTGTAACTTAAACATTTATACTTCAACACGCCTCCCACGTGTTAGATAGATTTTAGGCCTAATACATGGAAATTTTTTTAATTGGTAGTGCGATTCGAAAACAGAATTTTCTATTATAATATCATGTTAAACAATATCTATTTCAAAAGCTTAAATTATTGAAGAGGATATAACTTAAATATTTATTCTTCAATATTTTCTTCTACTTTCATAAAAAATACAAGGTAAAATTAGGAGTAAATTATACTTTAATCCCTTGAACTATCACATTTATTTTATTTTGCACCCTCAATTATAAAAATTTTCATACTATACTTTAAAGTATTAATTTTATTTTATATCACTCCAATAGACAATGATTGTCAATTTTTTTTTACCATAAATGCGTCTGTGAGTGGTATGTACTGCCAATAAGTAATTATTTATTGCACATGTACAGGTTAAAAATAAAGAAAATATATGTCTATGATTTTGTCCTTCCTAAGCTCTAAATTTTCTTCTTTTAACCGACTTTCTTTTTTTTCTTAGTAACCATTTTGTTGCAAAAGAGGTAAAATAAAATGGTACTAGGCACTTGATGCGAAAATTTCTCTCATTTGACAGATTTTTAATTTTATCATTATCAATTGGAGTAATAAAAAATAAAATTAGTACTTAAGGGATAAAATATAATTTACTCTAAAATTAGATAGGGTTACATAGAGAGGCGAACTTACAATGAATTGTGGGAACAGGTTGAGATAATGATGGNGGATTGTCAATTTTTTTTTTTACCATAAATGCGTCTGTGAGTGGTATGTACTGCCAATAAGTAATTATTTATTACACATGTACAGGTTAAAAATAAAGAAAATATATGTCTATGATTTTGTCCTTTCTAAGCTCTAAATTTTCTTTTTTTAACCGACTTTCTTTTTCTTCTTAGTAATCATTTTGTTGCAAAAAAGGTAAAATAAAATGGTACAAGGCACTTGATGCGAAAATTTCTCTCATTTGACAGATTTTTAATTTTGTTGTTATCAATTGGAGTAATATGAAATAAAATTAGTACTTTAGGGTATAATGTGAGAAATTTTATAATTAAGGGTACAAAATGAAATAAAGATAATAATTTAAGGGATAAAATATAATTTACTCTAAAATTAGATAGAGTTACATAGAGAGGCGAACTTACAATGAATTGTGGGAACAGGTTGAGATAATGATGGCTTTGGAAGAAAAGTTTAGCGTGTCGATTGGAGAAGGAGGAGCTGAGAATATTGCAACAGTTCAAGACGCCGCTGATCTGATTGAGAAAGTGAAGGCAGCTGCAGCCTAGCGTAGTCACAACCAATGCAGCCTAGAAGAAAGAAACCGGCATAATTACGAATGTGTCCCTACCTTTTGGCTTTTTGTTGTTGATGTTGTTATTGTTTTTTCATGGCCTTATTTGTGGTTTTCATTTCGATTCAGCCTGAGATTTTGTTGTGATGCTTTTCAAATTCTCCTTTACAAGTGACAGATGATAACAAATAAAGTGCAAATTTTCTCTTCAAATCTTCGCACTATAAGCAAATTTATATTTATAATTGTATCTATATACTACTTATAAATGTCATAATTTGAAAAAAAAATTAATTTCTTATTTTATCCTAAAGTCAATTATACCAAGACTCTTTTATAAAAGCTTCTAAATTCTTTTGAACTCATTTATTAGTAATACGTTTACATACAATTTTTTATATCTATATGAATAAATAAAGTTATATACATATTAAATTATTATATACATGTAATTACCAGATTGAAGTCTACAGTCCAAAATATATTATATTTTATTTTTTAATATGTATAATATTATAATATTATAAATGATGTAATTAATCTATTTAATAAAATAAAAATTAATAATCCTATAATATATTTAGTTGTGCAAATGCTTAAAACAAATGACAAATTAAGTAATCAAAAAAAATTGCTTAAAGACTTGTAGAATAAACTAATAGTTAAATTTGATAATAATTAAAATACAGATTAATTATTTGACATCAATTTTTTTATTTAATTTAATTACACATATAATTCACTTTTTTTAAGAAAATATATTATTTAAATTTATTTACGTGTAATACACGTCATGCATTGCTAATCTATATATATACTACTAATAAAATATATATCTATATCTATACTACTAATAAAAGTACTTTGAGTGAAAAATTTTTAATTCACTATTTTACCCTTAATAAAAGTACCTTAAGTGAAAAATTTTTGATTAACTATTTTACCCTTATAAAATTTTTTAAATATCATATTATCCTTCCATAATTAAATACCTTAAATGAAACTTTTGATTTACTATTTTACCCTTCCCTTATAAAAAATTTTAAATACAACACTATCATTCCATAATTAAATATTTAAATTACAAGGACATCCTTATGTATTTAAATCTCCACATTATCCTCTAACAACATCTCTTTTAATTTTTTATTATCTTTGTATAAATATCAATATTTATGAAAAAATCTAATTGATTACGTTACTATTAATCCTTTATAAAAAATTTTAAATATCACATTATCTTTACATAATTAAATACCTTAAGTGAAAAAAATTTGATTCCCTATTTTACCATTCTCTTATAAAGAATTTTAAATATCACACTATCATTCCATAATTAAATATCTAAATTAAAATCACACACTTATGTGTTTAAATCTCCAAATTACCCTCTAACGTCTCTTTTATTTTTATATTATCTTTGTATAAATATCAATATCTATGAAAAAAAATTAATTGACTACGTTACGATTAAAAAAATATATGCATCATTATAGTTTTGAATAAAATGTTTAAAAACAACACTATCATTCCATAATGAAATATTTAAATTACAAGGACATCCTTATGTATTTAAATCTTCACATTATCTTCTAACAACATCTCTTTTAATTTTTTATTATCTTTGTATAAATATCAATATATATGAAAATTTTAATTGATTACGTTACTATTAATCTATCTATTATTACTAATAAAAGTACCTTAAGTGAAAAAACTTTTAATTCACTATTTTACCTTTATAAAAAATTTTAAACACCACATTATCCTTACATAATTAAATATCTTAAGCGAAAAAATTTTGATTCCCTATTTTACCATTCCCTTATAAAGAATTTTAAATACCACATTATCATTCCATAATTAAATATCTAAATTAAAATCACATCCTTATGTATTTAAATCTCAAAATTACCCTCTAACGTCTCTTTTATTTTTCTATTATCTTTATATAAATATTAATATTTATGAACAAAAATTAATTGACTACGTTATGATTAAAAAAATATATGCATCATTATAGTTTTGAATAAAATGTTTAAAAACTCCATCAATAGATCATTACTCTTTTCAAAAATAAAGATAACATTATATACATATATATATGTGTGTGTGTGTGTGTGTGTATATTTTTTCATTTGTACTACTAATAAAGAATAAAACTTTTGCCTTTAGTAAGAAAAACTTTTGATTTAGTATTTTACTCTTGTAAAGAATTTTAAATACCACATTATTCTTCCGTAGTTGAATATTTAAATTACCATTATATACTTATGTGTTTAAATCTCCAAATTTTTCCTAACATCTTTTTTAATTCTCTATTTACTATGTATAAATATCAGTATCTATGAAAATTTTTAATTGACTACGTTATCTTTAAAAAATATATGCATCACTATAAACAATCAAAATATCTTTAAAAACTTCACCAATCAAATAAAATAATAACATTATTCTTACATATATGTATTTTTTTTCATAAAATTTCAACCATTTCATTTTTAAGATAAAAAATAATCTTTTACCTTTTTTTTAAAAATAATTTATGTTAAATCACAGTAAACTTTTCATATTTTATTAAGAGTTTGTATAAAAAAAATTATAGCATATTTTAAAATAAAACTTGAATTTTAGAATTTTAATATTATTTTAAAATATATATTATAGAGTAGTATATTATATTTTAGGGTTAATAGTAGTTTTAATCCTTGAAATATGCATATTTTGCCAGTGTCATCCTCATTGTATCAATTTAGTCCTTAAAGTGTTTAGTTAATGATTGAATGATCTATATATAAAAAATCTGGTAAGTTTTTGATAAAGTGATCACGTGCTGCTAGTCACGTGATACAATCGAACGGAATAACACGTAATCACTTCCATAAAAAATTTAATGGACTTTTTGATTAGGGATTTAAACAATAATTGACTATTTTAGATACTAAATTGATAAAATTTATATATTGAGGACTAAACTAACAAAATATGCATATTTTAGAGACCAAAAGAGTTATTAAGCCTATTATTTTTTATCTCCATTGACCTAATTAATTCTTAATTATAGTAAGCATTGATTATAATTTTGATAATTATTTTTATTTTATTTAATGAATTATATGTTGAAACTTAATCAAATTTCAAATGAATTATTTTTATTTTTTTTCTTATAGTTAAAACAACAAATCACTGAGAACAGATAATATTTTTCGAATTCTATAATATAATACGAGCGACAAAAATATAATTTTGATAAATTTTAATGTAGGCACACATATTAATATTTTGTATACAAAAATTATTAAAGTACAACGCACGTGGTGCATTACTAGCCTGTACTACTAAATGTCGGTATATGTGAAATTTTTTGTTTTCTTTTTTTATCTCTATTTAATAATTTTAAGTCAATCTTACCCCACATATTTTATTAAAGTCATCATTTTTCCTTCCATCTCCTATCAAAACTCTTCTTATTATACAACGGTAAGGTCTCTAAATATTTACTCTACTTATTGTTATAGATTTAGGTATTGAATTACAATAATAACTCTAATAACTCAAATTATTGTATAAATACATGTATATATTAATAATTAAGTTTAGTAAAAATTAAAATTAACTGGTCAACACATAATTTATTTATTCAATTCAATTATAAATATAATTTTTATTATTTAAATATCTTTACGTGCAATGTACGTTATGCATCAGTAGCCTAACTTTTATAAAATCAATTATATCCTTATACATTCATATAATTTGACTTTCAAGTTTTTTTAAACTATTTTATAAGTAGTATTTGACTTCTAAATTCTTTTGAACTCCATTGTAAGTAGCAAACTTATAATTTTTTTTTTCATTTTTATGCTTATATGTATATGAAAAAGTAAAGACGAATCTATATTATATTGTTATACACATATAGCTATCAAATTGAATTCTAAAATAAAATATATGCCATATTTTTTTTAATAATTCAGTTGAACAAGAAATAACATATAGATTAATTTTTTGACACTAAATTTATTATTTAATTTAATTATATATAAAATATATATTTTCATAAATTTAACAAAAAAATTATTATTTAAATTATCATGTGTGCAACAACGCATTGTTAGTATAAAAAAGACATAAACCCCCCCAACCTTCCAACCTACCTTTAAAAATTAAAAATTTCAACTTACACCTTCAAATATGTAAATTTTTATCAACGTATATCCGAAGTTAAGCGGCCGTCCAGTTTGCTGTCTAACACTAGATAAATTATCTCTATAACCCCTCATATTTATCATAATTACTTGAACCAATTATATTTAAAATATTATATTTATACCCCTAAAAATTCAAATATGACTAAAAGTATTCTCCAATCGAGTATCCAAATAATTTATTTCAAGTGATGTATTAGAACATTAGATAATATCTGCATTGTATTGGACATTCAAAGGATAAATTTAATTTTAATCTTTAAAGTACAACAGAAACATAAATTAAAGGATAATATAAAAATTATATTTGTTTATTAGCGTGACATCATATTTTTTAACGGTTATATTAACAAATATTAATGAAATAAGATAATATATTACACGCACACAAATGTTACGAGGTGTAGTCGTGTAGGTGTAATATTTTAAATGTGAGGGGGTTAATTGATTAAGTAATAAATTTTAAAGGATCTAGGTATAATTTATTTATTTAATTTTAGATAGTAAACTGATAACTATTAACGTTAGGTGCACACGGATTTATATCTTTTAAGGATATAAATTGAGAATTTTAATCTTTAAAGATATAAATTAAAATTTAAGAGATCTTTTGGGGTAATTTGAGATAAACCTTGTACTTAATTTGCAATTAACCAGTTGCCCTTTGTCTCTCTTATCCCTTCGTCTCTCTCTTCTGTTCGACAAAAATTGACGAACATTACAGACCGACGAACGGAGAGCTCCACCCGGTTAGTCATTGTTTTCATTCCTTCTCCTTTTAATTTTTTTTAGATTTCGTCTTTCTTCTCTATCTCTACAATTTTTGTATAAAGCTCTGAAACTGTTTCTTCCCCTAATTCTTAAAAAAGACGCTGAACTGGGTTGTGGTTATTATGGTTTATTTTTATTTTTATAGATGTTTACTTTCTCTGATTAAGCACCTGACCTTGGACTTGGGGGCTATTCTCACACACACATACACACACACACACAGAGTCTAGCCCCTCCGTCTCTCTCTCTCGAAGGAGCAACCCCAGATTTTCTCTAATCGTCTCTCCTTTACGACTTTTCAGATCTGGTTTTTCTCCCACTTGACCAGTCAGAACTCTATTTTTGTAAACCATATTTGTAAAATAAATGTACTGTTTTTTTTTTAATGTTTTATTATTTGTTTTACTTTTAAGATTAATTACAAATAAATTAAGACATGATTTACTACTCGTAAAAAAATTCAGTATTAAATTATTAGCATGTAAAGTAGAATCGATCCTAAATTATTAGGATTAATTGCAGAAACTCTAAAAAATTGTAGATAATTCTAAAAGATTTTAAAGAAAAACCTAAAAATTTCTAGTACTTAAAAATGCACAACTTTGTCTCTTTTTTTATCTATAAAAACTCTCCTCTTCCTCTTGCTAGGCTGCCATTCAAAACAGTTTTCACTCTCAAACTATTCTCCCTCTATACGAAAAACATTAATTATATTCTGGTCTCGGTGTAGCTAAAAATTATTTGAACTATTTCTTGTAGTAAAAGGTTCATTGTTGTTCATTAAAATTTTGCTCTGCTCCTTTACTTTGTCTTCTCACACTGCTGCTCCTTTACACAAGTATGACCTTAATTTAGAATCGTTTAGGGGTGCAACTCGGGCGGGTTGGACAGTCAATTCTAACCTAATTTTAGGTATATAATTTTCAACTCTAACCTTAACCCTAATCCTACCTCAGGTTGAGGAACTTAACCCGAGTTTAATTCGGGCGGGCTCAGGTTGAATTCGGGTTACTTTACGGGTTCAATTCGGGTTGAGAGTTCATGTAAAACCCAAAATAGGCTTGTTTTTCTAAACCTAATACATATATTACATAATATTTAGCTAAATTAAAAATCAATAACTTCAACCAAGTTTTAACAGTGCTAATGTTAGAACAAAATTGAAAATGAACAAGAGAGATAGAGAACGATAGAACAAAATTGAAAAACCAGTGCTAATGTTTTATATATATATATATATATAATTTTTTTTTAATTTGTTGGGTTCGGGTTGAACCTATAAACCCGAGGCTTTAACCCAAATTGAATTCGGGTTAAAATTTTTTAACCCAAGCCCAATCCAAGTATTAAAAACTCTTGTCCAAACCCTAATTTTTTCGAGTTGGGCTCGGGTTGAAATCGGGTTGTCCAATCCAAGTTACATCCTTAGAATCGTTTGATTTTTTATAATTTTTCCCCTTTCTTTACAATATTGTTGCTGACACATAACAGTAGAGTGAAAATCTCTTCTTTTTTATATATTAATTTAGTATCAATTCTCTCTTTTTTGTGATTTTATGACTTAAGTTCCATCATGAGATTAATTATATTTTTACTCCAAATATAGGTTTACTTTTACTGTTTGAAAAGGAATTCTGATTGGTCTGGGAGGTTGTGCATGCTTGAAAATCTCGCCTGCCTATAGAGGATTATCTTAATTTGCTAAAAATTGATTGTCTTTACTCTAATGGCTAGAAAAGAGTTTTTTTTAGGTACTAGGAAAAGAAAATTTGAGATCATGATAAAACGTAATAGGGTCAAGAAAATAAGAAATGTCTAAGCACGAAGCATGCAAATCAAAATTCATAATTATAGACCTTATATTATTTAATTAACACCATATTTTTTTTTAATTTACACCTATAATATTAATCAAAAATGGATATAACTGCTACATAAAGCTTCCCGACAATAGACAAGCCATCTGCTCATAAACTTGTTGGAAAAATCCTGGCTTAGGGTTCAATGTGTACCAACGGCTAACAAACTATGTACAACTTAGTCCTAAATTGTTCTTGTATTTCCTAATATTTCTTAATTTTTTGTACCATCTGATGACTTTAATGGATCGCCAATACAAAGCTTAGATATGGTCAGTGGTCTCCGAATTGTTTTCTTTTGATTCAAAATTTATTCCATTATATGATGCTATCACTATTTTGTTCCTGAAACTTATGCATGATTTGGTGCCTCATAAAACTTACTAGACATGAACCAGGAGTTCAAATTTTGATTCCGTTATAAAAAAACCTAGAATAATGGATCTATCCGTCTAAATTGATTCAAAATTTAGAGTTGCCAAGTATTATTGCTAGTCTACTCTGTATCTTCCCTACACAACATGACATTGATATTAGAATGTCATCAAGTTAAAAAGTCGGTGGTTTCAGAAGTAATATACAACATGGATATATTATAGTATATTTTGAAGCAATCCCTGATTTGACATTAACTTTGTTGCATATTGAGGTAGCCATATTGCAATGCGTCATATAAGAAACTATAGAAGTCTCAAGATGTGCCCAAGAAGACAAGGAAACTTTAGAAGACACATCAAGTAGGAGACACAATCACTATAGACACCATATCAACAACCCGACGAAACCAACCCCTTCGCCAGTGTGGACTGTGGAGGGTGTTCTATCTTGGTCTGGGGCTGATGGCGACTAACCCAAATGGCCCTAATGCAGATCACAATTGGTCATGCTCGGATGAGAGGAAAAACGTCATGCCAACAAGCAGTTACAACTTCACAAGCATTTTGAACAAATAAAAGAACAGTGCAGAAGTTTACATATCATCTCTCATACTCCACAACAAAGCTACGAGCAGTCAAATAGGGTAAAATACGCCAAAAAATGGCACCAATCTAAATGAATTTGAGCAGTATTTTCAGCAATAAAACCCAAATAGGCCTCTCCCTCATATATCAACAATCTATTCACCTTAACAAAATGAAAAATGAAAAAAAGTTGGTCAAGGGTATGTATGTTTTTCACCTCTTTTAGTACAGTTTCACCATCATTAACAATCTTGGGTGGTCCATATTTGTTTTGCATCACAACATTCCTTCTTTTAGACCCAATGTCACCCCAACTAGCTCATCAGCCACCAGGCCTGCACCAAAACAACCAAAATTAGTTACTAATAAAGTTAACCGCAAGCAATACATATATGCTATTGAGAAAGATAACAGTAAATGTTGTGTTTAAATGTGACCAGAAGCTTCTTTGTAGCTAAGCCATCATGGTTGAAATAAAGTTCTTTAGCCATGGCTCTAGTTTGTTGATCCGTTGAATTGTGACAATTGTTGAATAATATTTTTTTAATAAAAAATATTTTTAGAATAAATTTTCATTATTAAATAAAATAAAATAAAATAAATTTAAATTATATTTTTATTATTTTATAAATATATCAAAGAATTTATTTATTATAAATACTTTAATTCTAACATAAATTACCGCTGGACCATGACAGAATTATTCGAGGTGCGGTAAGGTGTCCGGACACCACCTCACCGTTGAAGAAAAAAAATGCCATTAGAATATTAGAAAATGACCGATCAACAGACCTGAAAGATTGAGAGTATAGGCATATCAATTCACCAGTTGCTTTGCTCCATCTGAATCGCCGCCGCAATTTCAGTTCAATCCAACCAGCCAATGGCGACTGAATCGAACTCCGCAGATGAAATTGAAGATAACAAGTCTCTGCAATCTATTCGTTACAGGCGCGGTTCACTTCAGCTACTCGATCAGGTGCTTTTTTGATGAACATTGAACGATGCAAATTTTAGGGTGCTTATATGGTTTCTTAGAATCGGTATTAGTTCGGTTGATTACTTGTGTTGAATTGAATTTGATTTGAATTTTTTTTTTGGTTGAGCAGAGAAAGCTTCCGCTTGAAACTATTTATTTGGAAATTCGAGATGCAACGGATGGATGGTAATGTGATGTGCTATAGCATACTGATACTGTGTCCTTGTGTTTTGGTGTTTCATACCTATATTGTGTTGCCTTTTTATTGACCAACAAGTAAATTATCTCCTTGATCATTGATTGTTGGTGGGTTAAATATCCCTTCCGTTCTTTATTTCACAGCAACTGACCTGGTGATTTGTTAGTATTTGATATGCATTTTCCATATATTTGTCGTATCTTTTGGACCCAAAAAAAAAAAAAAATTATTTGTGGGTTTTCACCAGTGCCTTTCTAGTTTTTATTTTCTTGTATCTAGAGAAGGAACTAAAAATGGTACAATTATCTGAATATGCTTTGATTTGTCTCGATTGCTAGGCATTATTATGGCAAGTTTGGGACATAGCGTTTGTATGTGGCTGTATCGGTTGCTACTACTAGAAATTGATTATAAACCTTCTTTTTTTAATCAATCTTTCATCTCATATGTATGGTCTGCCCCATTTGCAATAGGATGCCCTTCTGATCATCAGCCCTATATCCATTTCCTCACAAAAGGAAAGAGCTTCATGTTGTGTTCTCTTTTCTTGTTCCTCATTTGTCTGCGTTCCTAGGCCTTCTGTACTGTTGTCTTGTGATACCAATTAATTATTAGCTATAGATGGGATGGAATTGAGATTCATTGTGAAGTGTTTTGCAAGGGCATTATATTTATTTTATCTACTGGTTTCCTCATTTATTCAGAATTTTTACTAATTTTTCTTTGGCCATCATTCCCTTATTGTAGACATATCTTTTATTTACATGTCAAGGAAGAAGAAAAATAAATAAAAAGAGGAACCCCAAAACAAGAACTGTGATGAGTGCCTGAACCACTATTGTAAAGGGATGACCTTTTTTGTGATTCACCTCATTGCCTAACCATTTCTGTTGACATAGAAAGAGACATCACCTTTTTTTAATTTTCTTTTGGTTGTCGACTAATTAGTGATAATTTGTTTCTTTCTATGTTAATAATATGTTATGCATCTCAACCAAAATTTTAACCCATGAACTTTGCATCAGGGGTGCAATAAGGGATATGGTGGTCCGTGGGGCACCCGCAATTGCCATAGCTGCTGCCCTCTCCTTGGCGGTAGAATTATTTAACTTAAAGGGTTTTAATGGGACATCTGATGATGCAACATCTTTCCTTATCAAGAAATTGGAATATCTTGTCTCAAGGTAATCATTGGTCAGGTTTCTGAATTTGATGTAGTGCTTGTTAACAAAATAGACTTTGTTCTCTAGTAATAGGTTGAGCTTTAAAAATATGTTAAATGACATTTTCATAAATTAATGAGTAATACTGTGAATCTTGCACACCTTTTCCAGCCGGCCAACGGCTGTGAATCTTTCAGATGCTGCAGAAAAACTTAAAGAAGTTGCAAAGAAGGTTGCCGCCACTACTTCTGGAGCCATGACTGTGTTCCAGGTAGTGACACTGTCATGCTGTGACCTTAACGCATTAATTTTTTTCTTCATTTGGTTTTCATTTTTCTGATGCCCTTACAATTTGTTTTCAACATAGGCTTACATTGAAGCTGCTGAAATTATGCTCAAAGATGATGTTGCTTCCAATAAAGCAATTGGATCTTATGGAGCCAGTTTTCTTCAGCAGCAGCTGAAAGACTTTAAGAGCATATCTGTTTTGACCCATTGCAACACTGGCAGGTAACCCCTCACCAAAAAAAAAAATTTGGCCCAACAGATAGTCAGTTTTTATTTTGTCATCCACATCATCATTGACATTCCAATTTATAGTATTATGCCAAAGAGCAATGGTTAAAGCAGTTAAATCGGTAGCTGAGCTTCCCACATGGAATTGTTCTGATTGTAATTTATACTGTTTTTGATAGTCTTGCGACAGCTGGATATGGGACTGCTTTAGGTGTGATCCGTGCACTTTATGCTGAGGGTGTTCTAGAAAGGGCATACTGTACAGAAACCCGTCCATTCAACCAAGTGAGTATGTAGCTTCATTAATAGAGCCTGCCTTACAACATAAACGTATTTCCAATGTAACGACCATGGTTGGGAAATTTGGGGTTCTTAGCACCTAGAGTGGACATATAAAGAGGTTCTAAATGTCTGATGCTGTGATCAATTTGATATAGCATATTTTCTAATGAATTTTGCACATGGCAGTCCTAGTTTATTAGGAAAATCACCTTTGTGTAGCATTTCTGTGGTCAATTTGGGGGCCAGGGCCTGATTGTCTGATGGTTCTCTCTTTAAATTGAAGTAAAACCTGAAATTAATAAGATGACTTAGCAGCTGAATAGTGACATTTTATCATTGCATATAGTTCATAATTGAGTGATTGGATGATCAGAATACCTTGATTTGTGCATCCAATTCCTGCTGCTCACCGGCACTCAAAACCGGAGATGACAGGTGAGATTAGATGGCTTGTATATGTCAAAGATAAATATGGAAGCTGAATTTATCCAAAACAAAATGTACCATTGAAAAAATAAAGCTTGGTACTTAAAAAATAGAAAGTACCTTCCTGAAGCAGAATAATTTCTTGCGGGACTGAAGAGTTAATGAAATCTGTTTTGTATTTGTCCAATTGATGGGGCTGACAATATTAGTTCCAACGACAACAGTTTTTGCTGTTTGTAACAAATTTGGAAGGGGTGATCCAACTCTCCCAGGCTGACCTATTGCCTGCACACAGGTTTCAGAGGGTGATCATATGCATCGTAGGGGACTGGTCTTGACTCCAAATAAGTCTTTGTCTTAACTGAAAGTATGTCATGGACATCCTGGCACAGTTGGCAAGATATGATAGCAGACGTGTTTAGACAATCCATACATAATCAATGAGAAAAAGAGAAATCCAAAGATGGGTGAGCGATTGTATGAGGATGTTGTGTTCTGAAATGTGGTTTCCAGGCTTCTAGAATCTAAACTAGTTATAGGAGTTACTCCCATTGAACTGATGCTTGCCACCTATATTGTGTTGGCCATTGCTAATTTATCTACATCTTATCTCTTTATTTCTGATATGAATATGTTTACTTAAACTTTATAATTCTTCTTCAATCAACCTCAGGGTTCCAGGCTGACAGCATTTGAGTTGGTGCATGACAACATACCTGCCACTCTAATAGCAGATTCTGCTGCTGCCGCATTGATGAAAACTGGATGTGTGAATGCTGTCATTGTCGGGGCCGATCGCGTGGCTGCTAATGGTATTTCAATATGGTTATTTATGCATATGCATTGAGTTTTCATAAAAAAAAAACATTTGATTGATTAGGACTTTGACCTAACTCTAGGTGATACTGCCAATAAGGTTGGTACTTACAGCCTTGCGCTGTGTGCAATGCATCATGGTATTCCCTTTTATGTCGCTGCACCCCTGACTTCGATTGATTTATCTATATCTTCTGGGAAAGAAATTATAATAGAAGAAAGATCTGCAAAAGAATTGTTGAACTCACGTGGAGGACTTGGAGAACAAGTTGCTGCTTCTGGAGTCTCTGTCTGGAACCCGGCTTTTGACATAACCCCAGCTACTATCATCAGTGGTATCATTACAGAAAAGGTCTCTCTCTTTCTCTGTAACACAGACACACAGGCACACATACGGACACTCTTACCTCTCCTCTCTCACATGTGTGTACACGGACCCACACGCCTAGCATTGAGCGAGCATCTTCCAGGAGATGCAAAACTTGTAATTGGTTGAACTTGAATTTCTTACTTCTTCTCTGACCAGGGTGTCATTACAAAGACTGAGATTGATGCTTTTGACATTAACGGATTCACACTCAAGTTGTCATGCAACTCATAACACTAGAGGCATCCCTACGAGCGACTCACTACACTAGAGGCTACTTCTGTTGAAATACATCCTCTTACAGCTGCTGTTTTTGACAACTAACAGAAGGTAGGTGTTGCTTGTAATGTACACTAAGATGTCTATCCCCTGTTCAACAGTTTATTGCTTGTAATGTACTTGAATAAGTACACTGAATTCCGGTGAGATTTGTGATTTCTTATTCCGTATTTGTATGTTTTTTGGTTGTTTTTGGCTTTTGTATTGTGAACTGTGGACATCGAACCCTTGCATTTGTTGAGATGCACGTAAGTTGGCTTTAAAATGTGTCAATGTCCTAAAGATAGAGTTTTTATGTATCGACACAATGATTTTCTTTAATTAGGCGATGTGGGACAATATTATAAATGAACCACCTACTATCCACCTCACCTCACAATTTCCAAGCCTATTTACTATTGGAAGGCTGGACTTTCATTCTCACAATTTAGCCCTAGTTGCCTTGTCACTAAGTAATTTTCTTGTTTTTCATACTTTCTTATTATTTGTTTCTTCAATTTCTTTCACAAAATGTTTGGTAGGTAAACTTAAAGGTGTTTACATTGTCACATGTACAGACAATTGGGTCTTTTTTGATTTAATGAAAAATCATCTGACATTTTTATGAACATTTGATAACAATATATTTTTATGAACACCTAAACAATGTGATTACAATATAAATTTTCAAAAGTGTTTGTCTATTAAGTAAAGATAATATTTATTTGAGAGAATTGCATATTGTACCCTAAAAAATTGAAATTTTTTTACTTTGTACTCTCAAAAATTAAATTTTTTACAATATATTAAAAATGTTATAATATGACCCTTCCGTTAATTTTCATTATTCATTATATCAGCATAAATTGGCTGATTTTGAACATAATAAATAATAAAAGTTAACGAAAAGTTTATATTATAATATTTTTAATAAATTAAAGATATAATATAAAAATTTTCATTATTGAAGGTGCAAAATAAAAAATCTAAAATATTTTCTAATGAAATAAAGACTTGAATTATTATTCGCAACACATCTATATGCTCCTGGAAGTTGTAGCGCCAAAGAGTAGTTTCTAACAGATATTTTCCGTTAGCTCATTCTCTCTCTCTCTCTCTCTCATCCTTCAACTATTCAAACCCATTTGTCAAAGTACCCTTTATGCTATCCGAAAAAGACTACCAAACAGAAATTTGAAACTGTCTGAGACAAACCATGGCGTGTTCGTATTTCCTCCTCCCTTTACCTGCAATTTCTTTAATGAGTCCAGCACAGTCCATCATTTTTGTCATTTCACCAGTAAATTTCTTTCGATTTTAGTTCTTTGAACATAATCTACTATTGTACTGCACATCTTATTAGTGTCATCTTTTTAAAGATCATGCCATTTCTTTTAACATGTCTTTGAGTAGAAATATGTTTTTGAATTTTTTATTTCTTCTCTTAATCATTACAATTATTAATACATACATTTAATACAGGTATCCAATGGTGGGCGATTTACGCTATGATAATCTAGATAATTAAAGCCCATATTCTCTTTTTGCTGTGGTGATTCAAATAAAAATAAGGAAACTGTGGAACGATGTAAATGCATTTGCTGTTGTGGGATGTATAACTTAGTAACCAATCATCAATTTTTACTTGGTTGGACTTTTGGAAAAATGGTTCTTAAATAAGGGTGTTAATTGAGACGAGTTATTCGGGCTTGGTTCAAGCTTGATTTAGATAAAGCTCAGCTTGAGCTCACGATCTGAGCTTAAACAATTTTTTAGGCTCAGCTCAAGTTCGCAAAACTCGCCTCGACTTGAGTTCTAAATGAGTCGAGTTTGAACAATTTTTTAAGCTCGTTTAGAAAAATAAGCTTGCCAGGCTCAGGCTCAAGTTCATAAAACTCGACTCGATTAACACCTTTATTCACAGATTCAATATATAATATTTTATCTTCAAATGACTCATATGCAACACACGTATGCACTAACTAGTTTTAATAAACATAGCAATGTTCCAAAATTATTTACTCCACTAATGGAATTTCTAATATCTTTCATGCATGTATTTACTGTGTTTTATTCTATCATGCACCCAAACGGTGTAATTTGGAAATTGAAACTAATTTATTATTTGATTAGGTGTTGCACACGTGCGTTACACGTGAATAATTAATTTTATTTAAGTTAAAATTTGCATGTATAGACATAAATTTATATATATATATATATTAATAATTTAATATTTACTTTCAAAAAAAAATAATTTAATGTTGAATTTAATGTCAATTCCAATGAAAAATCTAAAAATAATTATTAAACTAAAATAATCTTAATTATTATTTGAAAAAGGTAAAACAAATTAGAATAGATACTAAAATTTTTATTTATTCATGTTTGAGTTAAATCAATCAATAATGCATGCATAGAGTGATTTTCTTATAATTTGTTAGAGAAAAAAAAGTAAGGAAGTTACTGTCAATACTGTAGCAGATGCTTTGATACACATGGTAAAAATAGCACTCTTAGTTCAATTGTCTCTAATCAGTGGATTAAGATGTCTTTCAATACTTTTTTCTTCAATTTTCCTTTTTGTCAGATCATCTACCATTAATGAGTGAAAAAGTCTCTTTTATACAATTGGTCCCACGTGAATATATGATAGGTGATTCATCAAGAAAGGAATTGTAAATAAAATATGTTGGAGGGGATCCAACCAAAAAAAATAAAATTGAAGAGTAGTTTATTAATCACTACTCGTCATGTAATACCGAAATCTAATCCATTTAGAGATCAAATTTTTTCAATTTTCTCAATGTTAAATTACCTAACTTGAATTTAAAAGGATCCATTGATTTTTAAAAAAATTATAATACATGATAGGGAATTGAAATACAAAAAAATTCAAGAACTTCAATACAAATGTCAAGTTTTAATGTCATGATGTCCTTTAACCACAAACCTTGGGAAAGTCACTTTTGGATGTCGTGATAAACTCATTGGTGGCTCAGAATAAGGTTTCGCTTACAGTGACATGTGTTGTGCATGTTTTAGAACTCTCCGATGAGAATTGGTATTGATTTTTCTAACTTGATATGGTTTTAATCCAATTCATCACAATCTATTTATTCAAATAATTAAGAATGCTGTGATGTTAGATTACACCCAATCATTCCTAATTCGTCTAATTCTTCCATTCACCATTGCTAAATAAGCTCGGTCATTAAAACCATACGTCATAAGTTCTTGAAATCAAACATAAGAATATGATTGTCTATCACTTGTCTCTTACACCAACCAAAAAGTTATATAATGGATAAGCCTTTTTTAAATATGCACATAGCACTTGAAGATTTGGTTTGTTACTATCATTGTCACCCCCAAGAACATCAATCAGCCCACACTTAGGGTTGAGTAGCATGTAGTAGTGGTGCAACACTGCAATTGTTCAAAACAGAAAAAGGAATCTGTAATAGCGTGCCATGAAATTATTCCTTAACAACTCCCATAAACCCGTATTTTTATTTTGGTGTTATCTCAAAGGTCATTATTAAGAATAAGAAATTATTTAATTTAAACTAAGATATCATAAAGAACAAGTAGGTAAAGTTGTGACAGTTCTGAATCTGAGAACAACAACAAATGTTTTTATTTTAAAATCAATATTTTATGTAATCTGTTAAATTGTATGATTCTATCTAAAAAAATAAAGACAATGCACTAATGATTAATATAGCTATATGAGCAACANTTGGACTTTTGGAAAAATGGTTCTTAAATAAGGGTGTTAATTGAGACGAGTTATTCGGGCTTGGTTCAAGCTTGATTTAGATAAAGCTCAGCTTGAGCTCACGATCTAAGCTTAAACAATTTTTTAGGCTCAGCTCAAGTTCGCAAAACTCGCCTCGATTTGAGTTCTAAATGAGTCGAGCTTGAACAATTTTTTAAGCTCGTTTAGAAAAATAAGCTTGCCAGGCTCAGGCTCAAGTTCGTAAAACTCGACTCGATTAACACCTTTATTCACAGAATCAATATATAATATTTTATCTTCAAATGACTCATATGCAACACACGTATGCACTAACTAGTTTTAATAAACATAGCAATGTTCCAATATTATTTACTCCACTAATGGAATTTCTAATATCTTTCATGCATGTATTTACTGTGTTTTATTCTATCATGCACCCAAACGGTGTAATTTGGAAATTGAAACTAATTTATTATTTGATTAGGTGTTGCACACGTGCGTTACACGTGAATAATTAATTTTATTTAAGTTAAAATTTGCATGTATAGACATAAATTTATATATATATATATATTAATAATTTAATATTTACTTTCAAAAAAAAATAATTTAATGTTGAATTTAATGTCAATTCCAATGAAAAATCTAAAAATAATTATTAAACTAAAATAATCTTAATTATTATTTGAAAAAGGTAAAACAAATTAGAATAGATACTAAAATTTTTATTTATTCGTGTTTGAGTTAAATCAATCAATAATGCATGCATAGACTGATTTTCTTATAATTTGTTAGAGAAAAAAAAGTAAGGAAGTTACTGTCAATACTGTAGCAGATGCTTTGATACACATGGTAAAAATAGCACTCTTAGTTCAATTGTCTCTAATCAGTGGATTAAGATGTCTTTCAATACTTTTTTCTTCAATTTTCCTTTTTGTCAGATCATCTACCATTAATGAGTGAAAAAGTCTCTTTTATACAATTGGTCCCACGTGAATATATGATAGGTGATTCATCAAGAAAGGAATTGTAAATAAAATATGTTGGAGGGGATCCAACCAAAAAAAATAAAATTGAAGAGTAGTTTATTAATCACTACTCGTCATGTAATACCGAAATCTAATCCATTTAGAGATCAAATTTTTTCAATTTTCTCAATGTTAAATTACCTAACTTGAATTTAAAAGGATCCATTGATTTTTAAAAAAATTATAATACATGATAGGGAATTGAAATACAAAAAAATTCAAGAACTTCAATACAAATGTCAAGTCNGTTAATTTTATATTAAGAATTATCATACAAGAAGTCTGCCTCCTAAGTTATTTTAGTGCCTATTTTTGATGAGATGAAAATGTAGGCTACTCATTGATTAACCATCAAAAGTACTATTTTATTATATTTAATGATTGATTAATTGCATATTATTTGTGATTAAATATATTAAATTCCTTGATTTTTTGTATGATATTTTTTTAGTTGTTTGATTTATTTTACAGGCAAATTTGTTGATTTAAAGTAATAATGGATAAGACAAATGAAACAATCACTAGAGGAAAAATCACAATTGATAAGAATTGAAGAGTCAAGAGTAAGAAA